CATTTTGTGCCAAATTGAAAAATTAAGTGCCATTTGAAATAAAATAGGAACAAATGGCACGGTTTGAGCCAAGTTGGCATCCCTGCTTCCAATAACTTACAAATATAAAAATGTGAAATATCGAGGGCTTGAATTCATTAATACCCTCTATCTGCAATTTGCACAAAAACTAATTTCTGATTTTAGAAACCATCTGGGACTTATTACCTGTCGTTATATAAGGTAGCATTAATATCACTGATGACAGTTAAAGCTTAGGTGGATTTTTATATCAGAATCTCATCTTTGTGAAAAGTGTGCAGATAGGGGGTATTATTGAATATAAGCCCTCGATGTTTAAAATATATAAAAATTTTATTTCAACGTATACAAAAAATTAATCTACCTGCGCTACAGCACGTCGGGAGACGGGGAGGGGGGGCCGGGGGGCCCGCGGCGTAGTGTGACGCGGTGTGCGCGCCGGTCGCGCGGGGTACGCGGGGCGCGAGCGCGAGCGCGACGCGCGCGGTGTGGCGCGCTGACGCGGCCCGCCGCGAAGCTAAGCAAATTTAATGTTTGAAAGAGAAATAATGTCAATTGATTTTATTTCGTTTTTAAAAAGGTAATAATGTCAATTGACCTTATTTCCGTTGATCTTATTACCTGTCACCTTAAAAATATTGTACTAAATAATCTATGCTTGTGTTTATAAATAAATTTTATTTTTTTTTTGCGTTTTCGCGTTGCACCACGCTCGCTGCGAGTCCGCGCGGCATGCGATATGAAAGCAAAAGCACCCGTGGCAGGAGCGAAAAAAAATTAATATCTAGGGACTCCGTGCAAGTTTCCGTATTTTCTTAAAGTACTATAGAATAAAGATTGATATTCAATGTAAACGATCAAAAAATCTGATCGATAAGTAATACATATTTCCATTTGTTTATAAAATTTTTTTATGAAATTTAAAAAATTTAAACAAAATAATGATTATTCGAAAAATTGAAACAATAAGGCTAAAGCGTGTCTAATTAACTATTGTCGTGGAAAAAATCAGCAAGGTACATGCTATGAATCAGTGGATAATAAATAATTACTGAATTCATCAAAAAAAAGTTAATAACAATAACTCTTGTAAAAATTCGAATCTTGCAAAATTGCTAAAATTATATTTTTTTTTATGGTTGTAAACCAAATAAAGTGATTTGTGCGAAAAAATCTTGACCATCCAATTTTGGATGGCCCACTTGAGAGATTTGCACTCATACATATCTTGATACCAAGTTCCAGTACTCTATCACAACTATTTCCTGCGATATACAGTATGAAAAATTCCGTTTGTATGGCAGGTGCCACATCCCCTTTTACAATCGAGATTAAATCTATCCTATATTTTAAGTTGGGCTAAATGACACTAGAGCAGTGATGCCAGACATTCTCTGTTAAAAATCCCACGAAAATCGGGAAGAAATCCCTCAATTACCCACATCTTAAAAATTTGCCCCTCAAAATTCGCAACGAATCCAAAACATACATATTTCAGTAGTATAAAAGTAACATGCATATAAAATAATAACAATAATAGATTGGCACTTGCACATATGTTAGTGTTTCGTCGAGCTTCTCCTCCGATTTGTGGCGTGCGCTTTGATTTTGTCACACAAAGGGGAGGGACCTACAGTTTTACGTCCACTCCGAGCGGCGAGTGTATTTTTAAGAGAAGCTGTCTTCATGACAGAAATACACTCGGAGGTTTACCATTGCCTACCGAGGGGTGACCGCTGTTAAGAAAAAACCTTTTTTACCTCGCTTCTGTTAGCTCGGGATGTAACTATGTAATATTGATGCGCCTAAAAGATGCAGCACTTTTATTCTCAAGTTACATACCTGTAGTGCGATTCACTAACTTTTAACAATGCGAGTTGTCAGCTAACAATTTTTGTTGTTTGCAGTAACGATTGTGCGATTCACTAACTGTGCTTCCACTAATGGACATAAATCCGTTGCATATGCCAAGGCGCTCGTGTGAGCACAAACTTCACAAGCATTTTATATGGAAGAAAATGCGCAACACACTCCACAAAAAAAATTCTAAAAAATCAACGGTAGCTTTTAGCGACTTGAAACCTGCATCTTATTAAACTAAAATTTAATTGGCTACAAAACTGCATACCCGAAAATCATTTAAAGATTCTGAATAAAAAGTTCGAAATCTTGGTGAAAATTTTTTAAAGTTTGATTGATTCTTGTGAATTTTGTGCAAGCTTTAAAACTTATATTCATGTGGTTTCTGTTGTTATATAGTAGATGGAACTATTTAAAACAAAATTATTAAAAATAAAAAGTACACACACAAAAATCATTTAACATGAAAAAGTTTGTTAATATTTAAAAAAAAATCAGTATGCACATTTTGTACATATTTATTTTCAAAGACTGATTTTATTATGCTAATATCATGATGATTAATAAAGACATATTTAAATATGCACATACTTATATGATATTTATATTTTTAATAAACGATGTACACGCATTAAATTGAAAGCTTTAATTATTCAATTCCTTTAAATTCAAGGCATATTCAGTTTCTGTAAGATTAAAAAATATAATTATCACGTTTTAACTTCCAGATTTCTATATTAATTTTACGCCCTATTGGAAAATTATAAAAAAATTATTTATGCGATTTTGTAGCCCATTAAATTTTAGTACAATGAAGTGCAAGTTTGATGTTGCTGAAAAATCCTTTGATTTTTGATATTTGTTTTTGCTAGCTGTGCTGTGCAATTTTTTCATACGAAAAAATTGTAGAACGTACCTTTTTTGTTTTATTAACAACACCAATCTAGACGTCGTCAAATTAGCGGCCTTTGTTATCATTAACAACAACAGCTGATTTGGCGCTAACGAATGTTGTTAGGGAAACGTTTACTGAATAGTTAAAATTGTCGTTTAGCTGACTTATAAATAACAAGAGTTGTTAAAATCGCGTAGTGAATCGCACCACTGATGACAGTACGAATGGAAATTATAATAGCGAGCAGTGTTGCCGCGCCGTCTCAAGAAAATGTATCCCTGACCAAGCCTAAAATGTATCCAAATGTATCCAATTTTCTTTTTTTACATATACATCTCATAATATGTAAGAAAACCAAACATTTTCATGAAAAATACATAATTTAACCCATCTTAAGGACTTGGAATACATGTGCATAAAATGAAACATTTGTAATTTCAATTTATAAAGCACATTTTTTGTGCATAAGTATTTTGCAAAGTAAATATAATAAATAGCAAGCACACTCTAAAAAGATCATGTAAAACTACTACTGAAAAGTATCTATTTTTCAACAAGAATCTGTATAAATATACGTATAAGATGTTCAGTATTTGATTTTGAACTTGAGATCTTTAAAATATACACATAAATACACATATATAGAATGTTTAAAATTGCAAAAATTTTCAAACTACAAGTATATTTGAGTAGTCTACTTGCAAAGTGCGCTATGTAAAATTTTTTCGATTCTTAGTTTTTGGCGGATTACGTACCAGTATTTAAAGTAGTTTCATGTCTACTAAGAACAGAGTGCAAAATCTTTTTATATTCTGAAAAAATAGCATCAAATGTTAAGTCTTCTTCCAAAAGTCGCTATCATACTTATTTATGAACTTTCAAAAGTATCAATCTTCTGATGAACTTAGAAAGCTGCTTTAGGTCGTATAGACTGT